ACACACACACACACACACACACACACACACACACACACACCATGCTCTCTCATGTTGCCTTCCTACCCTGTAATACCTGTAATACTTACTGCCTTACCTATTTGAATTTCTACCTGTTATTCAAAGTCCACTCAAGGTCTGCTGTCTTAGGGAAGTCTTCTCTGACTCTCACCAGCTCTACCATTTTCCTATAGTTGCCATGACCTAGTGTTGCTCTCTGATTCATGTCCAAGTCTTTTCCCCACTCAGTGAAGTTTTGAGGTCAGGGAATCATTTGTCCTACTTTTCCAAGCCCCACACAGTCTGGTCAAGAGCAGTGCACTTATAACAATAGGGGTAAAAACATATTTTCCATTTAATCCTTAATATTCAGTTAGACAAAACTTTTCTCTACTTGGATTGCTAACTTCTCATGAAATACAGGTTTTGCTTCAACTGCTAAGAAATCTGCACTCAAACTCATCCTGCCAATACAGCCAGGTGAACTGATCTGAGTCAGCATTCTGTCTTCCTGGTTTAACAAGGAAAGCTACTGCTTAGCAAATAAAAATCTAAGTTCTCGCCCAACATCCAAGGCTCAGTGCAATCCATGTCTCCTTCCTAAACGATACAACCCCTTATCTCTGCCACTCTTGGCCAAAATGGCTGTGAACACAGTCATTTTTGTTCAGAGCCCAAGCTTCTAACCTCTAACCTATGTCATCTCCTCAAAGCCAGACTTCCAATAATTCAGACACACATTTGCTTATGTGCTTCTCCTTAGAATGCATGACCTCCACCATTCCTTTAAAGGCCAAGTCCATTATCACACTGATACTCATTTTTTTTCCCTCTGGACCCTATTCTGTATCACTTAATTATAATACAGCCATATGCTAGTTGAGTAGTTGTCATTTTCTCAAAAAATGTGAAAACATTTTCTCATAGTCAGTAATGGTTGACCTCCACGTGTCCACCAGCAGGTGTTAGGTAAATGTTTCCATCCAACTGTCAATAACAACCACTTTTAGTCATTGAGAACCTGAGGCCAGCTGCATAAATCAGAAATCCCAAAGAATGAGTTATCAGGCAGTTAAGCAAGCATCTATGCATCAAGATGTCCTTCAGAAGACAGCTTGTACATTGAATAAAATACCATTTCAATTCAAGTACATGTATGTTTCTGAAAAGATTCAGCTATAGTTGCCCCTTGGTTCAGGCAGAAATCAATATTAAATCTTATAATTAACTAGCTAAGGATGGAAGAGCCTGTTCTATCAGTTACAAATTTGTTTTCTACTTCAGAAATGGGGTTGCATTTAAGATGTTAACTTTAGAGGCAAAGGTTAAAAAAAAATAATAATAGCCCCCCCCCCCCCCCCAATACAGAGTGAGACTTTCTTTTAAAGAACAGATATCTGAGCACCTACTATGTGTACCATTCTGACTCCTGGTCATCTAATCTAGAGGCCAATTATACGTTTCCTGTCTCAACTAACATTGTGTCTCAAAGCCAAGCTGGTTCAGCATTCTTCATATGAGTATGCCAGCCCTCGGAAATAGATTCAAAGACATTTAGCTTATTTCTGCTGCACTAAATGGTAGCAAAAAGCATTTTAGCATTTGTACTACACATTACAGAGGATTATAACAGGTCTTGGTCACCTAATAGGACGCTTACAATATAAATATGAAAAATAAATGAGGCCACGTGGGTGAAATGCTTAGGACAATGGGGGCAGCTACCTCCAATATGGACACATTTAGTGAAGTTACTCTTCACTTTCCAGTTATTTGGGTGTGGATTAACTCTAGACCTCAGGAGGACTCAATTGTCCTGCCCACATGAGATTCAAGTGGTACCTTTAGAGCTAACACTTGGGTGCCTGTCCTGATTTATAAACCATGGCCTCATTGTCCTGCTTGACCCTTACATTTAATAGTTTCAAGATATGTAGGAGAGCTTCTAATTTCAGCTTGAATGTGGTCATGTCTAGATTTTACCCTGCCTAAAGCTCACAAACAACAAGAATAAGACCATTTGTTGACATCAGCTTAGCTATTACATCCAGAATTGTAGTTCTAGAGCAGGTACATTTCTGAAGCAGCAGCACATTATACTAATGGATAAAATGAAACTCAAATGTTATATCTCTTGTCTTAAATGGCTAAGCTGGGTTGTGAACACAATAAGTTATAGTTCAGAACCCAAGCTTTTAACCCCTAACCTATGAAGCCTTCTCAAAGCCAGACTTCCAATTCTCTACTTCTAGATCATGTCCTTGTACTTTTCAGTCTAAGGGTATGATCTCTGCTAACCATCAGTCTCTGATTATCATCAGTCATTCCTAGGACTGTTTTGCAAGGTGAGTGAGGCAACTAAGGGTCAGAGACCTTGAGAAGCTTGTCCAAGGAGTGGCAGGCCTATGTTTTACATTCTTTGCTTCACAGGATGCAGACTTTCTTCTCAATCTCTACTCACTGGAAGTTCCTCCATTGCCAACCTAGTACGTACTTCACATAATAGGGACTTAGTAAATATCCAGGTAAACACCAAGACTCAAATCATACACATTCATGCTTCAATTCCAGCTCTACCACTTAATGATACTACCTTGGGCAAGCTGATATCTACTGATCTTACTACAGTTAAAAAATGGAGATATCTTTTCTATCTTAAGTTATTTAAAATGAAAGTCAAATGGAAGATTGGAACATTACTTCATAAACCATAAAACTCCATAAAAACCAAGTACAGTATATGCATTTACCATTATAGAGAGGGCTTCATCTGCACTCTGGGTATGGCATGAAAAACAAAATAAAAAATGTTATAGGGTAGAGAAAACCATCTGGTTCAAGGGTAATAGTCTAGTTTACTGGAATCTTTTTTTAAAGAAGTAACTGGGACAGTCTCCTAATAAATGGAGATTAATTATGCTCTTTTAAAACCCCAGGAATGGGGAAAAGATTTGGAAAGGAGGTGATAATATAAAACTAAGGAGTACATCGATTTTCCTAGGATCAAGAAAGCAATAGTTGAGATAGCAGGAAAAAATCTCAAGGTCTGTGCTTTTGCATCTTTCTGCTCCCAAGATTCAGTGAAACTGAGCTCTATTGAAATGCGTTGCTTTATTATGTCCATGACTGTAGGAATTCAGATACCTCATTATGTTTTCCATTAAAACAACTGAATTATAAAGCAACTGAATTTTGAAAGTTACTCTATCATCATGTGTTGCTCTTGTTGAAATACAGCTGGATGGACCCTAGTGCTAGACTTTGGTTCAGTGGTTCTGGGATGGGAACCAAGAATTTGCATTTTTAACAAGTTCCCAAGTGATGCTGACGGAGCTGGTCTGGGGACCACACTCTGAGAGCCACTGCCTTCCGTGAGTTCTCGCGAGCTGTGAAATACACGCCGCGCCTGCCACATGTCCAAACTGGAGGACTGAATTAATCTGATTGTAAAATGAGAACTTACGGCAGCAGTTCATCTGTCACATAACGATCTAAGTCTATTTCATTGTAATACTTTACAGCCCTTTGCTAGGGAGAAACAGGGTAGCTTTTTAGCCAGAGAAAACCTCACCCAAACTTCTTCCCAGTTGTACGGGTTTCAAACCTAGATTTTCCAGGACTCTTACCTATGCTTCCTGCTCCCTTTACTCTGTGGTTACTTAAAAACATCTATGGAACTACCCTCAGGCATTCTGCCTCCTGGCAACTTCCCTGCAGCTGAACACAATGGCCTTCCCCATTCACTCAGAATTCTTACCGGCGTATGGCAGTTAAAGGCTACTGAGTTATACGTCATGGGAGCAGAGAAAAATTGCCAGGATACGTCTATATTGAGGCAATAGCTTTTATGTTCCTTAAGTTTCATAAGTCTTAATGCTTTGCTATCTTGATGATGTAACAAACAGTTAAGAGTTAGTCAATTAAGTAGTAGAGTTCAAACAAGTTTAAAAGAAGAGGAAAGGGATGGGGTGGGCAGAGAGAAGATTCTACCTCACTTAATAAAAAAATAATAATAACTTCCATTTTTAGACCAGGAAGTGATTTGTTCCGATTTTCCTTACCCTAGAGTGTCAGGCTTTCTTCCAAGGTATGAGAAGGATTTGGGAAAGGCAATAACCGGGGCAACCTGCCCAGCTATGTGGGCAATGATAGTATAGGGCCTCCTGCCTCAGAAGGTATTTTATTTCTAGCCTAGTCACTCAGTTTAGCGCGGATGGTCCCTCCCTTCCCACTTCCTTTGGCTGTAATGCTGACTTCAGGGGGAAGGGCTGCCCCCTCTCACAGGGAGTCTGAGTGGGGGGAGACCAGAGGAGGTCAGCTTGACCAAACCCCACTGCAGGGTTCCACGCAGAGAACAGCGAGTAACTCCCTGTCTGTTCTAGCGTGAGCACAGCAGACATGCTGGCTTTGTTCACAGTAAGTGCTTGAATGATTAACATCTTGCAGGTAGACAAGTGGTGTCCAATTATGACAAAGATTCTCCATTCTGTCTTCAGTTCTCGCAAAGATAACACAAGTCAGTTGTTCAAGGGGCAAAAACAGAAGAAAACATACATTTCTAAGGGAGATAGAATAAAATATTTTAAGCAGGTTAGATGAAGTCGGCCCAACAAACCTAGGGGTAGGTACAATTATTTCCTCCAGATAAGAAAGCTGAAGTACAGAGAGCTGGTGCAATTTACCCAAGGCCAGGTGAGCAGCAGTGGTGTGGCTGGGATTTGAACCAGGACCTCGGGAGACAATGGGATTCCAGAACCCACACTCCCAACGGCTCCCCAGTCGTGCTGGGCGGGAGGCGGAAACTGGCCTGGGCTGGCCTTTTGTGTCCACGCTCAGCATGGTTTGTTTCCCTCGTTTAGGGAAATTAGCATGTTTTTTTGAAGAGGAGGGGACTGGATGACCTGTCTCCCTTCTGATTCACACAATCAATCAAGTCAGGAATTGTTCCCATGAGTTACGTTTCCCTGAGGCCATTTCATCTGAATGTGACTTGGGCCTACCTCTGACCAAGCCAGTGGCATGCTTCAACGTCAGAACGGCACAGCGGCACCAGGGAGAATTTTAAATGACCACATCCTGCCCCTCCGGTGTTTCATGTCGCCAGTCTAGTTCTCATTCTGGTTCTGTTTGGAGGGTAGAAACCTGATGTGTTAGGTCAGTTACTGGAACCTCCCCAACCAGTCCGCTTTCAGGCCTTTTTCCTGGGGGAGGAATGTTCTGGGGGGCCATGAGGGCAACTAGCACCCTGAGAGCTAAGTCTGCAGCAGCCTTCTCAAGTAGTTCAGCATCTTAGTTTTGTCTTTAAGAAAAGTGTTAATTAGTTTTTAAAATATATTCTTACTGATTTCAGAGATGAGGGGAGAGGGAGAGAGAGATAGAAACATCAACGATGAGAATCATTGATTGACTGCCTCCTGCCTGGCCCCCACTTGGGACTGAGCCCACAACCCAGGCATGTGCCCTTAACCAGAATCGAACCTGGGACTCTATCCACTGAGCCAAACCAGGCAGAGCAAGAGCATTAATTAAATCCTCAAGTCAGGAGACACTGAGGAAGAGAAACTCATGAAGCCTTCAAAACGGTTCCAGATGAAAAATATTGGTGGTAGCGGGCTTAGGCTTACAGGCACATGAGGGCAGAATTAGAAATGAGAGGCTGTACCACGCTTGCTGGGCCCCCAAGAGCCCACGTCTCCACAAAGCCTCCTGCTGGCCGGGAGCCACTCAGCAAGGCATTTGCTATCCTGCTCTCTTAATCTCCAGGTAACTGAGGCCCGGCCAAGCAGGCCAACACATCTCACCGCCAACCAGCTGACCAGCAGCTTCCAGAGGCCCCTGTCCCATCTTCAGTCCAACAAGTGTCTTGAAAAGCAATTCCCTTCAACCCAAATGAAGTGACTGAAATCCATTAAACCTTTCGAGCAAGGCAACGGATGAGCTTAATGCATAAGAATTTGGACTTTGAGTTGAATCTAAAACTATAAAAAGTCTGGAGTGGAAATGCAGACTCTGGATTGTCCCCAGCTAAGTCGGCAAGGCTTTTAGCCAGTGCTGCGCTGCCTGCTCTCCTTCTGGCCTCAGGTGAAGATCAACTGCGTCTAAGATCACGAGAATGGCAACTACGCTTGTGTCCCGGCTCAAAGTTGGAAGACGTTCTCTGCCATCTGCTTGTCCTGGTCATTCATTGAAATGTGGGAGGGCCTCGCCTAGCTCGAGAAGAACTGGTTTCTGGGGGCAGTCATCTAAGAAGGGATAGAGCTGGCAGAGGGAAGGAGAGGGAGAGGTTAAGATATTCAACTACAACAGAAAAATAACCCAGTGTGCTTTAGGAGAAAATGGATTAAGAACTTAGAAGAAGACATCTGTCCCACAACCACACATAGGGAAACACCACTCGGTCCCTCTGTGCTTTCTAGACCGTCCACGGTGCACACTGTGTTGCGTTGTGAGGACTGTTGACTGCCACGCACCCAGCACTTCACCCAAAGGTCCTTCCCCAAAGATTAAGGAGACCTCAATGCCAAATACTCCTGAATTCTCAAGACAATAAATTTTCCTACAGTGCCGCTGAGGCTTATCTGCCTTCAGGGAGGGAGAGATAGAACCTGGGGTGGGCGGGCACCAGGCCGGGAGAAGAGCACCTAACCCAGGTCTGGCCGTTGGCGTAGGAGACCACCATGGAGCTGTCACAGAGCACCGAGACAAGCCATTTGGTGGCTGCGAGGCTCTCCCATCCCAGCTAGATCCTCCCTCCCGGACAGGGAGTCGATGCTCCTGAGTGGGGAGCCGAGTTCTAGCCCGTAAGGGAGGTCAGTTATAAATCCCATCAAAGCCATTCCCAGAGCCTTATCAGATGTCTTGAAGGCATTTGTGTAACTTTCCTTGGCCACTCCTTCTGTTTGCCTTACTTCTGTCTTCTTCTCCCCCACTCCCCTGCCTGGCCTGATTAGGGCCAGAAATGTTTTCATTAAGTCACTTTATAGCGCAATAACAACATTTACTATTCGTGAAGTCGCCCCTCCATCATTTTTAAGTCTTTCCATGTGTCTGGAAGCTGCTTTCTGCCCCGTTCATTTTACAGAGTGCCTCTCTTCCTTCCAAACACAAACTGCAGAGAAAGAGGAAAAGGGGGGGGGGGAGGGGATAGCATCGAGATTCTTTAAGTGTTTTTAATCCAGTTAAATTTCCCTTTGACTCCAACAGCTCCCTGCTGACACCGGCCGGGGACCTGAATTCCAGGCTCCGAATTAAGTCAAGAAGAAAGGATGGCAGGGACAAATAACAGAGTCAGCTCTATGCTAGGAAACCGCTATGCTGACTGGGGCTCCAAGACTTTAACCCATTCATCCCCGCCCCCTCCGCCCCCCCCTTTCTAGAATTCTTACTTCATCTTTCCAGCCGGCGTACGGCAAGCAGGCAAACACCCTTTCCCCGCTCTGGGCTTCGTGGGTTTAAAACAAGCCTGTTCAGTTTCTTGGGCACATACTTGCTTCGTGCGGGTGGAAGACCAAGTTCACGTTTTAACGCCACCGGTTGTCAGTCACCAGGTAGAAGCTGCCCCGGGCACAGACCCGTCCCCAGCCTTTGTCACGGGGCAAAACTAAACCGCCCCGCAAGAGCCACCGAGGTGGTGGGCAGCCACCCCAGAGTGCCTCCCACCAGCACAGACACACAAAAGGCAGGCGCGGGGGAAATGTCACCCGGCCCGAAGGTGCGCGCATTCCGGGGAGCATTCCTGGGATGTCAGGCCGCGCAGCCGCTTCCCCGTCCCGGCTCGGTCCCGAGGCGCCCCGCCGCCCCACGTCTGCACCCCAAAGCGGAAAGCCCAGGAGGGAAGGAGGTCGCAAACATGGAGCCCCGGGGAAGGAGGGGGAGAGCTACTCACAGGCTGGCTAGCGCGTCTGCGGAGCGAGCATGACCGGCCGCGAGCCTCCCTCCCGGCAGCCGCGCCGCGCACCGGCGGCCGCGCTTAAATAGCCGCGGAGCCGCCGCTCCCGGCGAGATGGTTGTAATCAGATGCTGGCAGCCCGGGCGCCCCAGGAATGCGCCGGGATGTTTTTGCTGCCCGGGCTCGGTAACTCCCCCTCAACGTGTCTGCTGAGTCTTCCAAACTTAACTGTTTATTAACTCGAGTGGCAGCCGCGCCGACGAGCCGGCGGCGGCGCTGGGCCCGGGCCCGCCAGCGGGGGGCGATCGCGGGGAGCCGAGCGCAGTCCCAGCCGCCACTCGCGGGGCGGGGCGGGGGGAGCGAGGGCTGGGCCGGCTGGGGTGGGCCGGCGACCCGGGAGGGTGCAAATGAGGACAGTGAAGGGCAAGTCCGCAGGGAAGGGGTGGGACCCGACCTCCATCCCACCGATTCCTCCCTGGATCGCGGCTGGGAGCGGGGAGTGGGGTGGCACCCGGAGTCCTGGAACCCGTCGGGTCTCTGTGGACAAAGGGCTGCCTTGACGCCTGACTGCCCTGGCCAGAGGCAGTTCCCGGCTCAGACCTGCTGCTTCTCTGGCTGGACCTGCGCTTGCCTCCTTTAAGGGAATCGGGGTCTTTGCCGTGGCAGATGGGGGTGCGCTGACATGGTGGGAAATGCGTGTGTGTATATGTAAACCGCACTGCATTTGTGCATGGAATAGAACCCTGTATACACAGATATAAAAACATTCCTCCTTGATGAAATCGATATAAACAGAAGTGTTCCTGTCTATATAGCCTGTCTAAACAAGCTATATATCTGATATAAACTGATTATATGCGTGCATATCCATGGGTGGACGTATGACACGCCTTTATCTGTACTAATTTCCATAACATTTCCCACACCTCTATGAAAAATGGGAGACAGGAGAAATAAAACCTTAGAGACTATTGAGGTGCCGAGCAGGAGAAGGTACTCACGGCTTATCTCGGTGACCCTGGGCCAGCTGGGAATTCACTTCCCCACGCGTGAAAATCATGACACTTGCAAAACCTCCCCCGGAAGCTCTGGTGCTTTTTCAGAATTGTGAAATTATCCTCGTGAAAACCGGGTCTCTGTCCCTCCCCACACTTTTTTTTTTTTTTTAATATATTTTATTGATTTTTTACAGAGAGGAAGGGAGAGAGACAGAGAGCCAGAAACATCGATGAGAGAGAAACATCGATCAGCTGCCTCCTGCACATCCCCCACCGGGGAAGTGCCCGCAACCCAGGCACATGCCCCTGACCGGAATCGAACCCGGGACCTCTCAGTCCGCAGGCCGACGCTCTATCCGCTCTATCCGCTGAGCCAAACCGGGTCTCTGTCCCTCCCGCCACTTTTAAGGCCAGAGAGAGTGCGCACTAAATAACGTGCAAAGCCCACACTGTGAGCTGGATGGGAAGGGGTTATTGATTTGATGGAGTAAGAAATGACCAGTGCATTTGCATTTTGCCTCTGGAAACTGGGGGTTCAAATCGGGCTCCTGGGACACCAAGGATGTATTTTGTGGTCCAAGCCTGGCCCCGGCTGCGAAGCCGCTGTGTAATTTGGGGGCAGAGCACTGTGAGTGGCAGCCCCTGCGCTCAAGTAGGTCAGACTCCGAACAGCCAGGGTTCCCCGGGGCATAGAGCAGCCCCTCCTGGATTCTGCTATGTCTGCCACCTGTCTGGCCCCCTCACACCTAGGGCGCTGGACGGAGGAGGCTTTCACTGACAGTTCTCAACATTCCTCTGAGGTAATTTGCTATTATTAAAAAAACAAAACAAAAAAAAACAAAAAAAAACAACAACAAAAAACACACAGTCTGTGTGAATAGCAAGAGTATATATATACACTTTAGCCTTGGGCTGGTATTTGCAACATGGATGCAGAGAACTTCGATCCTAGGACTTCCTAGGACAGTGGTTCTCAACCTTCCTAATGCCGCGACCCTTTCATACAGTTCCTCTTGTTGTGACCCAACCATACAATTATTTTTGTTGTTACTTCATAACTGTAATGTCGCTACTGTTATGAATCATAATGTAAATATCTGATATGCAGGATGTATTTTCATTGTTACAAATTGAACATAATTAAAGCATAGTGATTAATCACAAAAACAATAGGTAATTATATATGTGTTTTCCGATGGTCTTAGGCGACCCCTGTGAATGGGTTGTTTGACCCCCCCAAAGGGGTCGCGACCCATAGTTTGAGAACCGCTGTCCTAGGACATAGCACTTCAGTTTCCAGAGGGATGCCTTCACTTCTTAGGCTGAGGAGCTGAAGAAATGACAGCCGATTTCAGGCAAATCAAGGCTTTGACCATTAAAAACAAAAAACAAAGCCAGGTCTCTCTGAACCCTCAATCTGTCCTGCTTTCTGAGCTCTGAACTGACCACCCCAAACTATTTTTTTTTGAATCATAAAACTCTTACCGAGAAATGTTAACTTATGTTTGCTCTACCCCACCGAGTGGAAAGGATTTGTCTGAGAAGCCAGCGGCAGAAAATGATTTCATCTGCAAGGAGCTGTAGTTTGAAGGGAAGACTTGGATGGCAACAGCTCATTTTTTGAGCAGCGGGCTCACACATACAGCTTCCAAATGGACAGCTCTGTCATTTCACGCAGAAACCTGAAGAGTTGACAGTGGAGAGCTCTATGTGAAGTGTATTTTTATTCTCTAAGGCGCTGATATTGCTTCTGGCAGTACTTCAGTGTCCTGCTCATATGAGGGGGGGGGGGCGGGGGGAAGAAAGAAAATCAATTTAACCCTTCTTATTCCTGGTGGGAGGAACACAGTTTTCTGTTCCATCCATCCTTGCCTTTCTGTTAGTCTCAAATGAACATCCTTGCAGCTGGAGACCCACAGCCAAGCCCACCCAGGCGTTAACCCTGCCTGCACCGTGGTCTTTTCTTCGTGCCCTGAAGTGAATGTGTAGGAAGTCAAGGGGACGAAAATTCAATGCGATGTTTAAAACCCTGGTTCTTGCATGGCTCCCCCGTGCACAAAACCTGCCTGTGAGGGAGAAGGAAAAAAAATAAAACTGATGACTGCATTCCCAGCAGGAAAGGGGTAGTTAATCCCGTGATGGCTTGCTGAAGAATGCATGGTTTATTATTAAAGTAATCTCTTAAGATTTTCCTGGAATGTGCTTCCACAGCAACTCTGCCTGTGTGAGCTATCTATCCTATGTGTGTGTCTTTTCCTCCATAATGAAGCCAGTTCTCCCCCCTGAGGCTCCCAGACCTAATGCTTTCTCTCCCCCTTCTCCAGACCGCCTTCTGCCCCCTTTCCTCCTGCTCCTGTCTCCCTTTAACACCCCGTTTTTAATCCTGGCATTTTCCCTGGGCTAAATGGCACTTTGGACTTGCCCACAGGACACGTGTGCACCTCGTTGCCTCGCTGGGCACGTTCAGATGTTCACATCAAACAGGGACCGGTTGGAGCCTGTGGCTCTAGCAAGGTCACCTCCCCCACCCCTTCTCAGTGTCATAAGAAAATGAAGAGAATAACCATTGTTCTCAGAAAATGAGCTTTGACCTTGACGGTCCTGCATATTTATAGCTGCAGAGAAACTGGCCCTACCAGATTGGGCCGTTGGCAAGGCAGGGCAAGTATGGAGGCTTTTCCCCACCTATCTCTCCATCTATCTATCTCTCTTTCTAAAATCTAAACAAATATTTGGAGGGCAGCCTCCTTGAAGGCAGCCTGCTTTGTTTGGTAGGCTGCTTTTGTTTGTTGTGGTTACACCTGTACTGCGTTCAGAACTCAATACTTGCTATTTGCTTGTGCTATGAAATATCAGTAAAACTCAAATGGTATTCAAAGAATTGGAATGTTGTAAAGTGAAGAATATTGAAAAATTCGATCTGCTACATTTATATAACCCAATACTTTTTTTTGGTTACCAACATACATTTCTATAACGAGAAGTTGAAAGTTAAAAAAGAATACTCAGATGAATTACTGATTAAAGTATTATCTTATTTGGAAAGCAAGTTGAACACTTTTTTCAAAATAAAAATACATATACTGTAATCTGAAAAATATTATTATTCTAGCAAACACATGTAGTTCTCTATCTTAAGTATAAAAACCTATCCCCTAGAAGTAAACATACACATAAAATACCAAGATTGTTGCACTGTGATGAGCCTAAAGACCTGGGAAGCAATGATGTTTGCCAATAGCAGGATGATTGGATAAGTTATGATTCGTCGGTACTGTGAAATGATATGCAATCATTTAAAAGAATAAGTTGGAGTTCAACCTTGTAATGTGGAAGGCTTTTTATTAGATATTGTTGAGTGAGAAAGGCAAGATACAGAAAAAATGTAAACTATGCCTCCATTTTAGTGATACGGAAAGCAACGCCTCTCCATGTAGGTTTGAGTACTTGTGTGTGTGTGTGTGCATGACTATAAGGAGACTGGGCTGCAATACAGATTACTGGGGCTCGAGGAAGATCAGAGCAGACAGAGGAGAGAAAGGGGGTGAGCACTGTGCAAAAAGGGAAAAGAAATTAAAATAGACTGGTTGCATATGTAGATCGCATTTATACATCTAAGTGGAATGACATGTGCACAGGTTCGCAGTTTTTTAAATGCACCAAAGGATCTTAAGATAAAGAAAGAGTTGTCAAAGAAATCCCATAAAACAGCTGTCATTGACATGCTTCCCGCAAGGTCTTTCACAAGTAGGTATTCATCAGTGTTCTCAAGTTCTACCTTGGTCTCTAGAGCAATAGTCCTTAAACTTTAATGGCCACAACAGACTTCCTGGAAACTTGCTACAAGGGCAAATTCCTGGGCCCAGCCCCAGAAACCTGGACTGGAAGGTGTGAAGGTAGGTGGGTGGTGGTGGTGGTGGGTGGTGGTGGTGGGGAGGGCGGGGGTTGAAGTGCCCTGGAATCAGTGCTTCTCACTAACACTTCCGGCCGAGTCAGTCGCTAAAGTCTTGGGGCCCACGCTCTGAGAGACAGTGCGTTTCCCCTGCAGTCCAGAGGATACTCATGTTGTTCTCTGAGCAGCGATGAGAACTGTGAGGCAGGGAGAACCACAAGGTTAGAGGGAGGAGGCAGGTGCCATCGGCCTTAGACACTGGCCTTTCCCTCTCCCTTTGGCTCCACAGACTCAGGGTCCTGTCTCTGGTGGTGGCACCGGTAAGAGCAATATCAGATGTTTTTTTCCATATTTTTGAGCAAACGGAGGCAA